AGGGAGGGAATTCCAGGATTTTGACCCAGCGACTGTGAAGGAACGGCGATATATTTCCAAGTCAGGATGGTGAGTGGTTTGGTGGGGAACTTGGAGGTGGTGGTGATCCCATTTTTCTGATGCCCTTGTCCTGCTAGATGGAAGTGGTCGTGGGTTTGGAAGGTGCAGTCTGAGGATCTTTGGTGAATTTCTGCAGTGTATCTTGTAGAAAGTACACACTGCGGCTACCGATTGTCGGTGGTGGAGGGAGTGGATGCTTGTGGATGTAGTGCCAATCAAACGGGTTGCTTTGTCCTGGATGTTGTTAAGCTTCTTGAGTGTTGTTGAGGCTGCACTCATCCAGGCAAGTGGGGAAAATTCCATCACACTCCTGACTTGTGCCTTGTAAATGGTGCTCAGGCTCTGAGGGGTCAGGAGGTGAGTTACTCGCTGCAGTATTCCTAGCTTCTGGTCTGCTCTTGTAGCCACTGTGTTTATGTGGTGAGTCCAGTTGAGTTTCTGGTCAATGATAACCCCCAGGATGTTAATAGTGGGGGATTCAGAGATGGTAACACCACTGAATGTCAAGGGATGGTGGTTAGATTATCTCTTATTGGTGATGATCATAGCCTGGCATTTGTGTGGCGCGAATGTCAGTTGCCATTTGTCAGCCCAAGCCTGGGTATTGTCCAGATCTTGTTACATTTGAACATGAACTGTTTCAGTATCTGAGGAGTCATGAATGGTGCTGAACATTTTGCAATCATTGGCGAACATCCCCACTTCTGACCTTATGATAGAGGGAAGGTTATTGATGAAGCAGCTCAAGATGGTGGGCTGAGGAAACTACCTTGAGGAACTCCTGCAGAGATGCCCTGGAGCTGAGATGATTGACCTCCAACAACCACGAACACCTTCCAATTTATCAGGTATGACTCCAACCACCGGAGAGTTTGCCCCCTGATACCCATTGATTCCAGTTTTGCTAGGGCTCCTTGATGCCACAGTCGGTTGAATGCAGCCTTGTTATCAAGGGCTGTCACTCTCACCTCACCTCTGGAATTCAGCTGTTTTGTCCATGTTTGAACCAAAGCTGTAATGAGATCTGGAGCTGAGCGGCCCTGGTGGAACCCAAACTGGGCGTCACTGAACAGGTTATTTCTGAGCAGGTGCTGCTTGATAGTACTGTTGATGACACTTTCCATCACTTTACTGATGATTGAGAGGAGACTGATGGGGCGGTAATTGGCCGGGTTGGATTTGTCCTGCTTTTTGTGTACAGGACATACTTGGGCAATTTTCCACATTGTTGGGTGGGTACCAGTGTTGTAACTGCACTGGAACTGCTTGGTTCGGGGAGCAGCAAGTTCTGGAGCACAAGCCATCAGTACTATTCCTGGAAAGTTGTCAGGGGCGGTAGCCTTTGCAGTATCCAATGCCTCCTACCGTTTCTTGAAATCACGTGGAATAAATCAAATTGGTATCTGTGATGCTGGGGACTACTGGAGGAGGCCGAGATGGATCATCCACTCGGCACCACTGGCTGAAGATTGCTGCGAATGCTTCAGCCTTATCTTTTGCACTGATGTGCTGGGTTCTTGCATCATTGAGATGGGGACATTTGTGGAGCCTCCTCCTCCAGTGAGTTGTTTAATTGTCCACCAGAACTGCAAAGCTTCTGATCTGTTGGTTGTGGGATTGCTTAGCTCTGTCTCTCACTTTGTTTGGTGTGCAAGTAGTCCTGTTTGGTGGCTTCACCAGGTGATACCTCATCTTCAGGTACGTCTGCTGTTGCTTCTGGCATGCCCTCCCGCACTCTCCATTGAACCAGGGTTGATCCCCTGGCTTGATGGTAATAGTTCAGTGGGGCTATTCCGGGCCATGAGGTTACAGATTGTGCTGGCTCATGGCGCCTCATGGATGCTAGATCTGTGTGAAGTCTGTCCCATTTAGCACAGTAGTGGTGCTATACAACATAAGGGAAGTTATTCTCAATGTGAAGGCGGGACTTAGTCTCCACAAGGACTGTGCAATGGTCACTCCTACCAATACTGTCGTGGACAGATACAACTGCAGCTGGCAGTTTGATAAGGATGAGGATAAGTATGTCTTTCCCTCTTTTTGATTCCCTCACCACGTGCTGTAGACCCAATCGAGCAACTAGATTCTTTAGGACCTGACCAGCTCGATCAATAAAACTGCTGCTGAACCACTCTTAGCGGTGGACATTGAAATCTCCCTCCCAGAGAACATTTTGTGCCCTTGCCATCCTCAGTGCTCCCTTTAAGTGTTGTTCAACATGGAGGAGTACTGATTCATCAGCTGAGGGAGGATGGCATGTGGTAAACATCAGGAGGTTTCCTTGCCCATGTTTAACCTGAAGCCATGAGACTTCATGGGGTCCGGAGTCAATGTTGAGGACTTCTAAAGCAACACCTTCCTAACTGTCTCCCACTGAGCCGCCCCCTTTACTGGGTCTGTCCTGCTGGTGAGACAGGACATATCCAGGGATGGTGATGGTAGTGTCTGGGACATTGTCTGTAAGGTATGATTATGTGAGTATGACTATGTCAAGCTGTTGCTTGACTAGTCTGTGAGACAACTCTCCCAATTTTGGCACTAACCTGTAGATGATAGTGAGGAGGACTTTGCAGGGTTGACAGGGCTGTTTCTGACATTGACTTTTCCAGTGCTTAGGTCGATGCCAGGTGATCCGCTGGTTTCATTTCTTTGAGACTTTGTGAGCGATTGGTACAACTGAGTGGCTTGCTAGGCCATTTCAGAGGACAACTGAAAGTCAACAACATTGCTGTGGATCTGGAGTCACATGTAGGCTAAACCAGGTAAGGATGGCAGATTTCCTTGCCTGAAGGACATTAGTAAACCAGATGGACTTTTCTGACAATCAGCAATGATTTCATTGTCATCACTAGTTTCTTAATTCCAGACTTTCAAAAAAAAATTATTGAATTCAAATTCCACCATCTGCAGTGGTAGGATTTGAACCTGAGTCCCCAACACATTAGCTGTGTTTCTGGGCTAATAGTCTAGCAATAATACCACAAGGCCATCACCTACCCTCTCAGGAGGGGAGTTAATTGCCGCATAAATCATGCAGTCATAGAGTGACAGAAATGTACAGCACAGAGACAGACCCTTTGGTCCAACTCGTCCATGCTGACCAGATATCCTAAATTAATCTAGTCCCATTTGCCAGCATTTGGCCCATATCCATCTAATGCCTTCCTATTCATATACCCATCTAGACGCCTTTTAAATGTTGTAATTGTACCAGCCCCCACCACTTCCTCTGGCGGCTCATTCGATCCATGTACCATCCTCCATGTGAAAAAGTTACCCTTAGGTCCCTTTTAATCCTTTTAAATTTTTTCTCTCTAACCTTAGACCTATGCCCTCTAGTTTTGGACTCCCTTACCCTGGTGAAAAGATCTTGGTTATTCACCCAATCCATGGGCTTAAGATGATTTCATAAGTATCTATAAGGTCACCTCTCAGCCTCCTTTTGCTCCAGGGAAAATAGCACTGGCATATTCAGCCTCTCCTTTTCGTTCAAACTCTCCGATACTAGTCTGCTCTTGTCACTGTAGCACATTAGAATAGCTGTAACTTAAACCAAAACTATAAAAGAAAACTAGGAAATTAAATTAAAATCTCATGAGTGGAGTAATAATACATCCCAATACCCATGAAATACTTTCTGCATCTAAGTAGGTTTTCATTTTCCCTAATCAACCTGTTAAGTTGTGTGATGATATATATTTGCGGTATGTGAGATTTGAACCAATACCTTCTGGGCCAGAGGTAGGGTCACTACCATTGCACCACAAGACCCCTTAGCTGCTTTTTATAACCCTTTTCAGAAACATTATGACATACTTCTGGAGCAGGTGCAATTTGAAACTAGGCATTCCAGCTCAGAGCTGGGACTCAACCATTATGCCACAATAGCCCTTAAGCAGCTAAGTTAGAATTTACTAATCAATATCCAATACCTGTTTTATCTTATTACCTTCAACTACTAGTTATTTAACAAACAGCTATAGAATTTATTAAAGGCCTGTGTAGTACAGTGGTAGCATCCCTATCTCTGAACCAAGGTTCTGAGTTCAAGTCCCACCTGTTTCAGAGGTGTGTAGAAACGTTTCCTGAGCAGATTGATTAGAAAATATCTGGAACCTCTGTCCCGATCTGAAATGTCAACGTTCCTGCTCCTCTGATGCTGCCTGGTCTGCTGTGTTCCTTCAGCTCCATGCTGTGTTATCTCTAACTCCAGCATCTGCAGTTCTTACTATCTCTTCTTATTGGATACATTGTTTTTATTTTTACCTTTCTCCATCATACTGGATATTCTGTGACTCCCATAACTAATCCTCAGTGAGGCCAAATGTTCAGTTAAGCATGCAGAGTATGTGTAAGAATTAGCATTTTAGCAATGACATTCTGCTGAATATCAATATTCCCCATGCCAATAGAATTGAAACCTTATAAAATTATGCTGAACACTCAAATAAAGCAATAAATAGAAGAATGTAGCAATCTTTCGTAAAATGAACTAATAAAACATAATTAATACAAAGAATACCTCCAAGTGAGATCAAATGCAAATACTGTTAGAGATACTATGTCCTCCTACTTAGGCAAAATTGGAAATCTTCTTTGAAGTCATTGCCAAGACTTTTGTCAGGTTTGTAAATTTCAAATTTTCCAACCAATTATAATTTGCCTTTGGCCCAAAAGCCCATCTGGCTGGGGAATTGGGTATTAAAATACACACATAAAAGATGGACTGGCAGATGTAAAACCATCATGTTAACTTTGCATAATTTTAGGATTAAAATTAAAGCATATGGAACAGTTAAAGTGATTGATTTCATACTGAAAAAAGAACCTTACAGATTGGTGACATAATAAAGGATTTGGACTTTGTTTATTTACTTTGGTGGGTTCCTGTCATTTATTTAACTTTTTATATTCTTTCAATGGATCTGAGGACCTCTAGCAAGGTCAACATTTGTTTCAAATACATACAGAAAGTGACAAGGTGATGTTAAGTTGTTTTCTTGATCTGCTGCAGCCCATGTGCTATGTACACCAACGGTGTAGGGAAGGGAACTCTATCTTTCTGGCCCAGCAACAGTAAAAGAACAATGATATAGTTTTAAGTCAGGATGATCTGTGGATTGAGAAACGTGCAGGTGGTGATATTCGCAAACAAATGCTACTTGTGTGCATCTACCTGCTAGTTGTTACAGGTTTGGATATTACAATTAAAGGGGTTGCTGCAACTCATCTTGTATATGGTACACATTGCTGCCATTGTGGCTTGTGGAGGGAGTGAATGATTAGGGTGTGAATGGAGTGCTAATCAAGTGGTTTGTTTTGTCCAAATGGTGTTGATATTCTGAGTGCTGTCAGATCCACATTCATCTAGGCAAATCAGGATTAATTCATCATATTCCTGACTTGTGCTTTGTAGATGGAGGGCAGACTTTGGTGTAGTCACACTATGTACGTAAGTGGTCCAGACGGAGCTCTTGTGGTGCAGTTGTAGTGTTCCTACCTCTAGTCCGGGTAAATCCAGTTCCAAGTCCCACAACCTCCAAACGTGTGTAATAATATCTCTGAAAACATTGATTAGGGAAATAATCATTGCTGGTCCAGATAAGTTTCTAGTTAACATCAACTCCAAGACGTTAACAGTGTTGCAGTTCAATTTGTCTTAAAGATTATGATCATACTCACCACTAAACTGAGTTGAAACATTTTCCTTCTGTGAGACTTTCATAAATAGTGTGTTGATCTAAGAGTTGTCTCTCCCCCATGTTTCAATACTTACCCATAAATATTGTTGGACTTGAAGCTTTTTTGCTTTTCATCTGGTTGATGGCTTTTATTATTTTGCTCACTTCTGATTATATGTCAGAAGACGTTCTTCAGCAGACACGTCCACTGCGGGATAGTTCCACAAAATTCTCTTCCCAGTCGTGTTGATATTGTCCATGTATCTGAGGACAGTCTTGCTATCTTTGATCTTATCAGTGTTGGTTCATATATTGAGTGTCCATAGATCTCTTTGTGCTGTTGAGAAAGGCATTTATGTTATACATACCATTGAGGGGTTGAATTTCCCCAATTTTCTCTGTTCACCGTAAATTCTTCAAATCAAGGATTCTTTGAATTTCAGCTTTGGCTGTCTGGTGCAGAGCCTTTTTTCTGCGTAGGTAATACTATAAATAATTCAGTATGTGCCTATGCTATGCTCACTGGGCTATAATACATATACATAGATAATTATAGAACAGATTATTTTTGGTTGCTGAATCTACGTAAACTTCAAACTCTTGGAGGAGGTATCAAAAATCCAATTACTTTAAAGACATTATCCCAGGTCTACCCAGAAAATAAATGATTCACAATAAGAGCTCACTTCCTCTTTGAAAAACGTTTAATTTCACCAATACAAAATTTGCACTATTGCACACACTTTCCTCCTGTAATATAATTAACGGAATATTGAGTGCAAAAGCAGTTTAAGTTATAGATTATCTCCCACTGCACTTTCATTACAACTACATGTTTTTATATGTCAAATATAATCTGTTGGGATTTCAGTTTCAGAGAAAAACAAACTGAATTGTGTAATGTGATTCCAAAATATTAGCAAACCTCCTGAAATCTAAAGTAATAAAAAGGAATTTAATATATTCAGTCACTTTATGGCATAGGCATTGGACACAAGCCTTTATTAGAGATTGTTTTTCAGTTGTAGTTTGTTTTTGAGTTACTAGTTTTTTGTGCTGTGCTAACATTTTTCAAGACGTTTATTTATTTAGTTTTCTGAGTTTTTATGATTAACTCAGCACACATGCAGAAAAGAAACCAGAAAAATACACCACAATATGATTACGGAAAAAAAGGGGTCATTCAGCTCTTTGTATCTGCATGCATTTCTAAGGGAAAAAATTACCAAGAGACTCTCCTCAGCCTTCTTCCTGTAGCACTGCAGAATCTATCCTTTCAGATAATAAGCTAATTTACACTTAAATATCTCAATTGAACCTGTCTCCACTACATGCTCAGGCCGTACATTCCAGAATCTCAACGTTTCGCTGCATGACTTTATTTTTCCTTATGTCGTCATCATTCTTTTGCCAATTATCCTAAATCTGTACCTCTTGTTTTCATTCCTTCCCATGATGGGAAGTCTGTTTAGACCCCTCATGGCTTTCCATACCTCCATCAAATCTTGTCTCAATCTTCTCTTCTCTAAGGAACACAGTCCCAAGTTCTCCAGTCTATCTATATAACTGAAGCTCCTTATCTCTGGAACAATTTTCACAAACCTTTCCTTTACAATTTTTGTAAAGTGTTGACCCAACTGGATGCAATGGTCCAGTTGATGCCCAGTGTTCTATATAAATTTAAAATAACCTCCTATTGCCAAGCCCTTCTTAATAAAGTCCAGTATACGGTGAACTGCATTCATCACACTCTTAACCTATCCTGCCACCTTCAATGACTTATGCATGTTTTAAAGTCCCTCTGCTCCTGAATGTCCTGTAGAATCAGATCCTTTATTTTGTATTATCACTATGTGTTCTTCCTACTAAAAATCAACAACTTCTCACTTTTCCGATTTAAATTTCCTCTGCCATTCGACTTCCTATTCTCCCAATCTGATTTCTGAAGAAGGGTCCTGACCCGAAACGTCAACTTTCCTGCTCCCCTGATGCTGCCTGGCCTGCTGTGCTCCTCCAGCTCCACACTGTGTTCTTGCTGACTCCAGCATTGGCAGTTCTTTCTATAAGTCCTTTTGTCTTCCTCAGTTCATTACGATGCCTTCTCCATTAATGTCCAGATCATTAGTATGCATTAAATAGTTGAAGAATCCTACTACCAACCCCTGGATATTTTCACTCCACACCTTCTTCTGTCCATTAACCATTACTCTTTGTCACCAGTTTCTCAGCCAATGTTGTACCTATATTGTTACTGTCCCTGCTATTCCATGAGATATACATTTGCTCTGTTTGTTGTCTACAATTACATCAAATAACTTCTGGAATTCCATGTATACCACAATCATTGCCAGACTCCGATCGAGCCCCCGTTAACTCAGAAAACGAATCTCCAAGTTAAAACATGATTTCCCTTTAAAAATCCATACTGGCTTTCCTTAATTATTCCACACAACAGCTCCATAGAAATAATTTAGCTGTGACTGAGGAATCTCACTTGTAGTTGCGTAGCACAGAATGGCTTTATTTCTCTCCAAATCACCAGACCCACAGCCATGGGTGCCACTTCTAGGCATGTTAGAATTATAGAAGTAAGCAGCATGAAAAGCATCCATTGCAGTATTTTAAAGGACCTATTAACTAAAACTCCCAGCAGATCGGTCAGTATCTGTGAAGAGGACTGGAGGGTTTGAGCTGCAGGGAGAGACTGAAAAGGTTGGGGCTCTTTTCCCTGGAGCATCGGAGACCTTATAGATGGTGACCTTATAGAGGTTTATAAAATCATGACGGGCATAGAGAGGGTGAATATTCAATGTCCTTTTCCTAGGGCAGGGGAGTCCAAACTAGAGGACATAGGTCTAAGGTAAGAGAGTAAAGATTTGAAAAGGACCTGAGGGGTAACCTTTTTATGCAGAGGGTGGTGCATTTATGGAACAAGCTAGAACATTTAAAAGGCACGTGGATGGGTATATAAATAGGAAGATATGGGTCAAATAGTGGCAAATAGTACCCGGTTAGATTGGGATGTCTAGTTGGCATGGATGACTCTATGATGGATGAATTGTTGGGCTGGATTTTCTGAGCAGTGGCAATCACATGCAGATTACCACTCTGCTCCTTCTTACCCAAAGGAATAGTTTCATGTTTCTGATTGGAGATTCCAATCAGGGCTGCTTTGGCAAGGCAGAGCCATTCTTCAGATCTGACAGGTCCTTCATAGTGCAGGATAGTTGGCCAGAGGGAGGGAAACTCTGTCCCATTTTTCTCAGTAGCAATTTGCCATATTTTGTTATTTAAAATTCTAACATCACGGGTGGCCACTCTGAGGGATAAGAAGGGAGTTGTGTCCAGGGAGTAGAGTTGGGGTTCTTGGTTCAGGGTGCAGAGGGTGTAAGGAGTCTGGGGGACTTTAAATTGGGTCATTTGATTAGTTACTCAAGGGTTTATCTAGGTTTTTAAAAGTCTACTGATTCCTGAGTAACCCGAGTTACTTAAATTTTGCCGAACCCTCCAAATTCTTCCAAAGCGTTCTAGGCGCGGGAGGTCTTCAATTTCCTGGGCAATTCCTTCAGAATCTGCTGTATGGAGAATTTTAAAGAGTTCTGACACATAACTCCAGTTTGTGGCAAAGAAACAAGCATCTGGGCATTGGAAAATCCAGGTACTGGGATACGGAACTTTGGGGACCCTACATCGTGATCCACAGACATCAATTCTCTGCAATGAGGCTGACTCTATGTTTTCTAGCATTTTGTTCCCCCACATCTGCATGCGTAAAGATTTTTTTTCTCTGAATAAATTTCCCATTCAAATATAGCGCCATATCTTCCTGCTACAAGCGAAAAGCATGTTCTTGCTGCAGAGCGTGTGATAGCATGGGATGGCTCTTTGTGGTGTCCCTGCCTCTGAACCAGGAGGTCCGGGTTCACATCCAACCAGCTCCCGCGGTTGATGAGAAAATATCTGTCGCAGCAGGGGGGAGAGGGAGGACGCCTGTGGCGCAGTGATGCTGTCCGTACTTTGGAGCCAAAAATCCCGGGTTGGACTGCTGCCCTGACTGAACAGCTTGTTTTAAAGCATCAATTTGGCATAGTTGCTTACATGTGCCGCGGCAGTAGTCGGTCTAATGATGCTGCAAACAACCTGTAAAATGGCAAAGTGGCAATATTCCACACCGTCACCCGGGCGACGCGCGCCTGCGCAGAAAAACGTGCCCGGGAAGGGGGCGTGGTTGGATCTCCCAGCCTCTCGCCCCTCCCCCACAGGCGCCGTGGGGCGGCGCAGGCGCAGTGTTGCCGTGCCTGAGCCAGTCTGAGGGACGGTGACGGTTGGAGGCTCTAGGCCGGATCGGAGTAGATCAGACCGTACGGTCGGGACAGATGTCGGCAGTTCAGCCAGTTCCATTGCTCCGCCGGACAGCGTGATATCTAAGACGAGCGGGTCGCTAAATACCCGAAGGCGGGTTCTTGTTTTTTTTTAAAGTTTGACGGCGGGTACCCGGCGGCGGCGGTGGCAGGAGGAGGAGGAGGAGGAGGATGTCGAGCCCCGCGCTGCTGCCGGTGTCGAGCCGTCGCTTGGCAGCTCTGAGCCCGAGCTCGCCCGTCTCCTTCTACCCGCATCACAGAGCCACCCTGCGGCTGTCGGAGAAATTCATCCTCCTGCTCATCCTCAGCGCCTTCATCACCCTGTGTTTCGGGGCCATCTTCTTTCTGCCCGACTCCTCCAAGCACAGGCGCTTCGACCTGGGGCTGCAGGACGTTCTCATTCCGCATGTGGAGCAGGGCAGGCCGGCGGGACGGGACGGCAGCGCCGGGCTACAAGGCGGCGGAGTCATGGTGCATGGAGGCGGGGAGGAACATCGGCACCGACACAGGTAGGTACGGGGGGTCGGGGGGCGCGGTGTGGTGGCGGTGCTGGCCGGGGTGTCAGGTTATGGGGAAGCGATCAGCAGGAACGGTCCCGTCCGGAGAGGAGATTCGCTTGATTGGAACTGTTTCTAAGCTGCAAAGCCGCTAGTGGCCCAGTAATTGTTTTGTTTGGTACAGAAATTCAAAACCAGGGCGAGGGGTTTTGGGGTTGGGGTTAGGGGGGGAGGTGGTCGTGATCTCTTCGGAGTGGGCAAGAGTGAAGGATCCGTAAATCTATTACCTTTAAAAAAAGTTGAAATGTTTATTATTTATAGTAAGTAAAATGCAGTTCTGATTATCCAGCTTGTCATTGAGTTAGTTAATGCAGGCCTGATGATAGTATTGCAGAAACGCTACTTAAATCCAATCTTGAACTCCTCTTGTCCTGTCTTGATTGCTTGTCTCAGTCATTATTCGGGAGAAACATCGGAAGTGGCATTTAGGATTCGGCACTACTGAACAAGTTTGCAAATTCGTCGGGAAATGTTACGTTTTTCAACTGGAGTCTCGCCAATAATATTTGGCTAGCGTGGTATATTGTTGCAGGGAAGGTAACACTGTAATGTTTTCTTCGCTTCCCCCGGCGCCCTAGCAGTAATGTGGGATTCACATCAGCATTTTCGCAAGTTCTTACGTCCAGTGATAATGAAGTAACGTAACCAGGCGATTCGTATGCCACATTGGCATGTTGTTAGTATTTAGTGCATCTAAACGGGAAAGTAGGCGAGGTAAAAAGGATAGGATATTTTCGTAAACTGAGACAAAATACATGTGGTTGGTAGACTGGAATGATGCACCGTTGTGGGATACTTTCTTCACTTTACGTTCTATCTAGTGATGGTTTTCAATTTGTTACTTGTATTTGTTTCCTATTTTTCTGATATAGTGCAGGTAGCATGTTGCAGTGTTTAATTATTAGCTGGCTGGTTTTACATACATTGTTTTGGCATTATTATTTACTGAATTGAGTCTTGTCCTCCACTAGAATTTGAGAGTTGTCCAATTTCTCATTAATGTTATGCTTTCACAGTTTTGTTCATAATTAAATATTTTTGATTGTTGAAAACTTTGCAGTGATGCTGTGAACCTTGATGTTTGTTTGTAGAAAAGTCAAAAGCTCGAGTTAATTTTTCTGCAGTAGTATTTCAGACTTGGAAAATGTCAGCTTTAGAAGTCTACGTCATCATATTCTGATTTAACCTATAATCTATTTTGATCTGTCATTCTCGAGAATGAATTATAGACATGGCTTTAAACTAATTTGCAAACTGCCACTTTTATTGATCTTAAATGTCATTCTTAGCATTTTTTCTCAACCATGACAGTTTAGAATATGTCAAATGTTGTCACTGGCTGCTTTGTACCACATTTTAAGGATTCATTTCTAAAGTTTTCCTTCAGTAACTGGAAAATTTAGTTTCGAGTAATCAGAAGCTTATTTGAAGGTGAGAGGGCTCAAGATTTAAAAGGACCTAAGGGGCAACTTTTTCACGCAGAGGGAGGTGCATGTATGGAATGAGCTGCTAGAGGAAGTGGTGAAGGCTGGTACAATTACAACATTTAAAAGGCATCTGGATGGGTATGTGATTGAAAAGGTTTAGAGGGATGTGGTTGAAATGCTGGCAAATGGGACTAATTAATTTAGGATATCTGGTCGGCATGGACAAGTTGGACCGAAGGATCTGTTTCCATGCTGTACAGCTGTGTGACTGTATGTGCAGGTTAGGTGAATTAGCAGTGGGAAATGCAGTGTTACAGGGATGGGGTATGTCTGGGTGGGATGCTGTTCGCAGCGTCAGTGTGGACTCAATGGGCCAAATGGCTTGCTTCCACACTGTAAGGATTTTGATTCTATTTCTTTGATTTCTATTTTGTTTCTGTTTGATTACTAAATAATGACACTGCTACTTTTGCAAGGCCATTTCTGAAATTCTTTCTGAAGATTTTCACTTTCTTTGCCATACCAGTTCCCTCTGTTGTCTTCCTTTACATAGCATTGTGAGCTGCTGATCCTGAAAGTGAGTAGTCCTACCTGCATGTTACATATGAAGGAGTGCCATCTGCCATGAGTTTCATTACTTTAACAATGGAATTCTTCCTGTGGTTCTTTTTGATCTTCCTTGCAGTGCAAAGCATCTGACCATCCATTCAGTGTTTATGTAAACTATATTGTACGGTGAATTGATCAGTGTATGGTTATAATCACAGAATTGTTAATTCATCCAGAAAACAGCGATAGTCTTTCAATGTTTTACCTCCCGGTGCCTTTTTTATAATGTAGAAAACCTTTGATTGTTAAACATCTTGTTGGCAAAAATGACTCTTGCTACTTAAGAATTCATTTTGTATGGTGCTGTTCATAACTTTAGGTTGTCTCATTAATTTATAGTCACTCAATTGTATTTTAAAGTGGAGTCATTCTTGATTTTTGTTGAAAAATACGGTGCCAGTTTGTTATATAGCTGAACTCCACAAACAGCATGACTGCATGATTTCTCTTGATGATATTGTGTTTCAGGATGGGTGTTTACAAGATCCTGGAAGGACTGTCCTCTCAAAAAGTGACATGGAATTATTTTTAATGCAGATAGCCCTCAGTTCTATTTGTTGTCTTAAATAGCACTCTGATCACTTAACACATATCTGGTACTGCACTGATGTGTATGCTTAAATTATGTACTTAATCCCTGTATTATCCATCAAAATTACATTTTTGTGACTGATAAGTAGAAGTTCTGGTGCTGAGCACAGCCAAAATTACTTGTTTGTCATTTCTGATATTTAATTGAATGTTCTTTGTATACTTTCTATAGCCCTACATTTCAAAACTTGGTACTTAGAACTGCATGCAATGCTACATCTCTAGTCTGTGATATGTTTTGTAGTTTTGAGTACGTCCAATACAATTTGCTTTTTCTGCTTTTGTATTTAGTCTTAACCACAAAATCTAATACTGATTAAGACTGCCCTTAATTTGATATATGATTTGACCCCAGTGTGGTTTTTGGTACAGTGATGGTGTCCCTAACTCTGGGTCAGAATGTCTGAGTTCAAATCTCAACTATCATAGAGGTGTGTCATAACTTATTGAAATTTGTTGGTATAAATATAGTAGATTTGACCCAGGGTGAACTTTCAAACAGCACTTCCACCTGCGTAGCATTGTCCAGCCCTGCTGCTGCCTCAGTTCATCATATGACTCCCTGAACCCTACTATGTTAATTCTGGACCTGATAATTCCAACATGTATGTAGCCAACCTCCTGCCTACTACCTCTGAAGTGGAGGTCGTTCACAACGCTAGTTGTTACTGTCAAAGTCCTGTTTATCCGTCACCTCTGTGTTCACTGATCTCTTAGCTCCCAGTTAAGCGATGACTTAATTTCAAAATTTTCGTCATTAATTTCAACTCTCTTCTGTGTGCTTTGGACATGTCGACTACTTTTTGTCTTAAAAATACTTTACCCAGGCGCTCTTGTCGGTGAGGCGGTCAAAGGCACACAAAATTCGGTTTGCATTTTAACTCATTTTTATTAACAAAACGTTCCTTATTAAAAACACCATGTGAGCAGTTCCCAAATTCTCTCAATATTTATTCTCAATTTAGTTGAAAGAATTGCTGGATACGCTGGGACTTTTTTCACTGGAACGTAGGAAGTTGAGAGAAGTTTATAAAATAATGAGGGGTGTAGATAAAGTTAATGGTAGTTGTCTTTTTCCTAGGATGCAGGATTTCAGGACTAAGGGACACATTTTAAAGGTGAGAGGAGAGAGATTTTAAAAAAGACATGAGGGGAAAATTTTTTTCCACAGACCGTGGTTCGCATGTGGAATGACCTTCCTGAGGAAGCAGTGGATGTGAGTACAATTACGACCTTTAAAAGACTTTTTGGATACGTACATGAATAGGAAAGGTTTGGAGGAATATGGGCCAGGAGCAGGCAGGTGGGACTAGTTTAGTTTGGAATTATGTTCGGCATGGACTGGTTGGACCGAAGGGTCTGTTGCCTGCTCTGTAAACTCTGTATTACCTCCAACGATCCATGTGTTTGAAGTGGGCAGTTAGAATTGCCCCTTTCTGATGTTGGGCTGGCTGTCTTCTATGAAGGTGGGTCTCCTGGGTCTTATTGGTTTTCCTTGTGGTCCTCTGCCAAGAGTCTTTGCTGTGGGTTGGCTGGCGGGTGTGTGATTTATCTCTCCTTGTCTTAGACGTAGCATGATGTTTTGTGGCTGTTGGCCAAAGGGGTCATGAGCTGGGTTCAAATCATCTGATGAGTTCGCACCAACACCTGTCACTGTTGCCATACTGGATGGGGTAAAGTGCACATAATCAGGCAGGCAAGATGCCAAATTTCTGATTGACACTTCTCCAATACATACCCTTGAACCTTTTGAGCTCTTTGATCTTGATTTTCCACTGTTCTCTGTAGCTGATATCTGCTAGCTACAGTTTAATTTAGTTTGACAAATTTTCTGTCAGGCATGATTTCTTTGGCTGTGGGTCAATTTAGAATGTCCAATTTTGGGTTCATGGCTGCTTGGCCATTAATGACATTTTCTTTCTTTATCTTGGCAGTCAACAGCCCTCCCAGCCTCTGAATATCTGCTCCTGCTAATTACGTCATCTTGATCATTTACCATTTTAATTGCTCAACTATTAAAAACTGTCCAGAACTTGTGTTCTGAAATTCCCTACGTAAATTTCCTTGCCCCTCACATCTCTTGTAAGACCCAACTTAAAGCCTACCTCTTTGATCAAAATTGTGGCCATATGCATTAATATTGCGTCACATGGCTGAATCAGATTTGCATTAGAGCCTTCCTGTGACATCTCGTGGCATTTTCAATGTTAAATTTTTATGCTATGTATATACATGTTATATGTTGCATATTGCATGTTTTTTTTTTATAAATACATTGAAATAAATACAAGCATAGGAAATAGAAACACGAGGAGATTATTCTGC